GAGAGAGGCAGGAGGGAGCCGCCTCTGAGGGTCAGGTGAGTATATGAGTTATTTTCCTTCTTAGATGAAAACGAGCAGAAAACCCTTGCAGTACATGGGTAGCTCCACTGCAAGGGTTAAGATTAATTTACCCCAGAGTTCTGCTGTAATGAGAGGAAGCTCAGTCTTTCCCTCTACTGTCACTTTCAAACTGTTCAGAGTAGCCTGGAATCTGCACAAAGGCTTTCAACAATGAAACAGCTGAAAGGTAAAAAAAAAAAACATATTTAAAAAAATAATTGTGGGGTATGCTGTGTGAATGGGAAGACATGACAAGTATATAATGGAGTTTTCTCAAATTTGACTTCTAAAGTGTAAATACACTTTAAGCTAATGCCATTGTGGAAATGCTTTGCCGTGCTCAGTAGCAGTTTAATATTCACATATCTTTATTGATTTACTATTGTGGGAGTGGCCAGCAAAGTTAGGTTGAATGCTATATAATGCCCGGGTTCTCCTATAATTAAAAGCAAAACTTTCCTGATTGGCTGAGATCAACATAGAGGAACCACAAAATGTGTACCTGTATTATTAGAGATGTCCATCTGGAAAGAACGACGTCACAGCAATTAGTATTGCTAGGTTCCACTCTGACCAGGACATTTTCTGTAATGGATCCTGTTTTGCTTTTTTTTTTTATTCCATGGGATAATCCAGCAATCTTCAACTGCAAACTTCAATTCCAGCACACGACTACTCTGGGGCTGTCTAACTGCCAGCATTAAAGTCCAGCCGCAAAAATGTTCATTTAAATAATGTCCTCAATAGCCACAGAGGATATTAATTAATGCCATTGCAAACACAGATTTTTAAAAAGTAGCAGTGTATAACTTGTGCAGAGATCAGAGCTGTGGGAGGGACCCAACAGGCCCCACCCACTATAGACTGCCTGCAGGAAACTACCGGAGGGGGGGTTAGACAAGACCAGTCACCCTGCACAAGGAGAGAGAGCAGCAGTGACTGGTCTTTATACAGATAGCTTCTGCACAGAGGTAAAGTCTCACACTGGATACTGCACAGAAGAAATACACAAGGCACACATGATCCATATAAGAATACACATGACTCTTATATTTAGATATTTGCTTATCTTGGAGCTTTGATCATCAGCCATCTACAGGGCCAGAAATTCTGATTGGTCGCACAGTAAAATGCACATTGCAGACACTTGTCTTGATTTGAGATTGTGCAGGTAGCAATACAGGGCTCAAATTTTTGAAACATTCATGCTGAATCAGCCTCAACCTGAGTGGCCCTGTCAGCACCACCTGGCTTGACAAACTTCAAATGAAAACTTAACCTCTTGCCGTCCGCCCGTAGTAAAAAAACGGACGGAAGGTGGCAAATTGTCAACCTAACAGTGACTGCATCCAATTAGCTACAGTCACTGGTCATGTATTCCAACATCCGTGGGTGCCAGCTGTCTGAATACAATAGCTGGCAGTGGAGATTTCTCCATTGACACTGTTTAGCACTCCAATGCCGGTGCATCCACTGCAAGCCATAGCCCAGCGCAGGTCAGCGATCGGTCCATGTCCAGACAGTATTCCTATTCAGTCTTGGTTGCTAGGACTGCTGGTGTCCTAGAACCAATGATAGTAAATAAAAGTAATTCACCGGCACACACTTGAAGGGTTTTTAAAGTATTGATATGTTTATTCAATACCCAATGTCACATACTGTCATACGGTGCTAACGTTTCGGGACCGCACAGGGATCCTTCATCAGAACGACAGTGACACAGTTGCATGCATTACTTTTTTCAACAGCAATGCACGGTATTGCGGTACTACTCTTTGCGGTCAATTGCGTTGCATCTGGAAGGTGTGTTTGAGGTGCCACTCACATGAATGGCAACGCAATGCACCTGCCGCACTTTAACATACGGTAGGTGTGCTGCGCGGTACAGTCCATTAATCATGTAAGAAACTGGGACTGTTGTGGAGGGCTGAACTGATAGGCCATATTGGTTCGGCCCACCACAACAGTCCGAGTTTCTTATGTGGCCCCCTGACAAAATGAATTGCCCACCCTGTGGTAATATATACAGCAACGCAATAACAGGCAGAGGCTAAAGAGTAAGAGGCTGTGGATAGAATCCAAATTCTGCTGGGAGACACCTACTGGTGGCTACCTGAATTACAGGCTGAAATCCGTAGAGGCACAGTGCCACCAGCAGGTAAAACAAGGGAACGGCAGGTTCCTGGCACCTTACATCCCATCACTCCTTTCCTTTCTTTGCTTTCCTTCTTTTTCATTTTCCACCTTCATTTATTCCTTCTCTTCCTTTCGTATTCCCTTCCTTCTTTACACACCCCTCTTCATTCTCCTCCTCCCTCCCTCTCTCTTTCCCCATCATAAAAAGATATTGGTCATGTAGCACTACTTGATGATACATGATGTTTTCAAATGTTTGTCAGTATTTGGGTCATTGTTACAATGTAACATAGCTCTGGGCATGAACATATTGAATAATATTATTATACAGGATTTATATAGCTCCAACAGTTTGTGCAGCGCTGTACAATATAAGGAAGACATTGCAATTACAATACAAGACGAGATGGTAAGGAGGGCCCTGCCGGCAAGAGCTTACAATCTAAAAGGGAGGGCCAAGTGGTACAAGAGGTGGCTTTCAGACACAGCACTATGAACATCTCCAACTTTCTGCAGAGGGTTCAAAGATGTACATGATAGCATTTGAAGCAACTGATTTTCTACCGCCGATTACTTGATTTACTCATGGGAGCATTCTCATGTAATCACATTATAATCATACATGCTGTAATTTCCTTTGGACAATCACCTCCGGATGCAATCTGCGGAGCAATTTGCAAGACTCATTCAATGAGCCGTATCCTCAAGTGTGAATGGGGCAATTCTTTTAGAAATAAGAAAGGATAATGCATAGCCAGAGGTGGATAGATATCATTATGACAAATGATGGAACTTGATAGAATACAAGTGTCTGTTTCTGTCATCAAATACTAATTACACTTATGCCCAGCCATGTGGGTGAAACGCGTCAAGGGGGAGGTCCCAGGCAGGAGCTTAGTTCATATTTTCTAGATGTATACCGTTATGAGTGTCTGAATGTTCTTTGGAGTGCAGCTAGTCTTTTCATTTGGATTTGTACAGCCTGTGGAGCAAAGGACGAGCCCCATGTTGGCATCCAGCACCAGATCTTCTCCTTGAGTTTGACCCAATTCAGGGCTAGGGAGCAGCGTATCCTATACTTTCACCAGTTATTTAAATTTCTGCTGCAAAGGAAGAAGGAGTGGCAAGAGAGCACTGGTAAGGGGATTATAGAGAACCTGCTAAAGGATTTGTTATTTTGTCTAGCCAGAACTAAGATATACACAGCTCTGCCAGACAACAGAGCCAGGCTGCTGACCCCACTAGTTGCAGTGAAGCACTAAAGCTTGGCTATTCCCCACCCTCAGTCTGTGACCGGGTAAAGAAGGAGTATGTTTCTTGTCAGTAGGGATAAACTCAGCTTCAGTCCAAACTTGAGTTCTTCCATACCCAGAAGTAAGCTGTTTTTGCTGTGTCACCATCCTGTCTTTGCCAGTGATGTCTTTCCACACAAGAGCAGGGTGCACCCAGGGGTCATGACCTGGGATCAACATGCAGCTAAGCTCAAAGCTCCATGAGTGGGTCCCTGGCGGAACACTGGCTGGCTCTTAGACCCCATGCCTTGGGGGATCCTGTGCCACCTGCTTGCTTGTGGGCTCTCATCCCTGGTACCGTGACATAAGGTCAATGATATCACCTTCATCCTGCCCTTTTATTTATATGCAGCTGCGAGGTGGGGAATTCCCCGGCCACACCTGATTCGGCCGACAGCCGACGGCTTCCTTTTAGGGTTCAGATGAACTCAAATTCCTACTGAACCTGCGCTCATTCCTACATGTCAGCACATTGACAGTGATGCAGCATAAATTGATTGAGTCAAAGTACTGACCCTCTCTGATTCTATCTGGGTTCTACTGTGCAAAGGATTGCAAGGTGCCCAGATAGACCCAGGTACATTCACAAGTTGCATTTAAAAAAAAAACGGTTTGTTAATGAATACTTAAATGCATTAAATGGTGTTTTTTTATACTTGTCTAAAGTTTAGCTTTACTAAAGCCTTCGAAGCCAGGAATCTCTTTTCTGTATATGAAAAGGGTGCAAGCAAGGGGCTGATGAAGATGGATGATGTGGCTTGATTTACAGTAGCTCATTTACACATAGCTAGAAGATATACTGCGGGTTTGTGACATCACAGTCATCAGCTCTCCTAGAATAAAGACAGATTTCACTTCATTCCCACCAAGGCTTTGGAGGTGACTGCTTCTCCCTGCTGCACTGGCCACAGCTACACAGTAGCCTAGAATTCAGTTCATCTGCATTTATTATTTCAGCATTATTACTACAACTACTGTTATTATTAGACAGGTATTAGAGCAAATGAAAATGAGAAGTTGTTCCAATAACTCTGTAGCAAGCTGCAAGCTGAAGGCTTTGTTGGACAGTCTGTTCTAGGAATAATGTGCATTTACACCTCTGTGCTGTCTCAACAAGGAGGCACGCAGCTAACAGCACACAACCTAATGATGCTGAGGTGCAAGGACATAGAGCTGCCTCTCTGACATTCCCTACGGAGCAATCCTAGTAGTTTGCTGCTGTTTTTTTTTTTTCTTATTGAAAACTTTTGGATTACAATTTAAAATATCTAGCAGAATTTCTGACAACTTCCAATAAAGAAGACTGGATCTTATTTTATTTTTTTGTTACCTGCCTTCAAGAAATCACAGCTAGCCCTGGTGGATACAAGCCTCGTCTTGCCTTTTTGATGAGGATTTTATTAAATATTAAAGTGGATGCGGAATGCTGTATCCTGTAAGTTAGTGTGAAGGTGATCTGTACACACTTGGAAACTGATTTATTGCTTGTGACAGTTGTGCATTGCTCTGGCTGTGTCTTACCACTAAAAGGTATGTGCCATTTTTATTGCTGTTGTATTGAATTGCATGTGGATTGATTGTGAAAGCCCTGATAAACTTTTATGGGTATATTTAATAATAGAGGAAGTACAGAGAAAATGATGAGAAATTAGGCGTCATTAGTTCTCTTACGCTAAGCTGCTCTATGTCTCATTCTGATTGGTTGCTATGAGTTACTGCATAACATTACTGCTTGCTGTAGATATTACATAGTATTAGTATTTCTGTATTTTGTTTGATTTATTACAGCTACAAGAATTGGCTTTATTGGAAGAAAAGTGTATATTTAAATGGAATCATCCAATCGATTCATTGTTTTCTCTCAAAATTGTTACCTTTTGGTGCAGTGGTTCACTGTCACCATCATTCCCCTTTATTTCTCTTGATGACTAATGTGATCTATGAAACTTGAATTTGAAGGTGTCTCTTTGACAGTGCCACAAGCAGATCACCCAAGTGAGTGAGTTCACGCAAGTCCACTCCAAACTATAACTGCCACCCCCAATCCAACCCAACCCCAACCAGATGTGGAGAGGTGCATTATCTGCCCTGCAGCTATACATCACAAAGGGGCGGGAAATGCCCCCGCCGCAACTGCCGACACTGATTTGGTCGAGAGGAGGGGGTAGTGGTCAGAGTTTTGAGCGGACTTGAGCAAATTCAGATGAACTGGGTTTGCCCAGCCTCATCTCTAGACACCAATCTGGATCTGATATAAGAGTTTTGTGTTACTTTTGGACCCCTTGTGGCAGGCTCCCTACAATTTAATATTAAAAAACTGCATGTGTGGAGGGCCGCTGCAAAGTATAAAAATCTTACCTTGCAGCGTGCCGGCTCCTACACATAACACTGAACATCCGGACACTAAGGGGAGTGAGAGATGGGACTCACGCAGTGAAGCGCTCCGGTTGAATCATCTGCCACTCCTGACTACTTGCCCATTCAAAAAATATCTTGTATTTTTTCAAAGAATACATGGCATTCTTTGGTTGGGGGAGGAGCGATGATGTCACATCACAGCCCCCTCCTCTCCTCCTCCAATCACAGAACACCTTGTAAACTTTGAAAAAAATACAAGACGTTTTGTGAATAGGTAAGTAGTATGGAGGGGCAGGTGATGCGACGGGAGAACCTCAATGCTTGGGTCACATCCATCACTCCTTGCAGTGGCTGCAAGCTGAATGTTATGCATTAAAAACCATGCATTTCCATTATTTTACATCACAATCTAAGTGTCTTCATAGGTAGCTGGCATTATATTTGCATGATTATGCAGAGTTTAGTGGTATTGTGAAATGACTTGAAGTGTTCCATGTGATTGTTATGAATACTGTATTTCATGCAGTCAGTGCAAGCCCCACCAAGTGGCTTTACCAGCTGGCATCATTGATCCTGTATTCTGATTCCTACTAATCATCATCATGATCATGAACCTGATCATTGTAAAGAAATCTTTTAAAATGTTTATAAAAGTATTCGTTATGGGAACTTGGTTTGGCTGTACTCTACTTCTAGATGTCTAAATTGGTCCATTCAGCTAGTTAAATTGCAGGTGCTCTAGAATTTATCCTATACCAACTCATTCATTTATAAGGTTATTCAAAAAAGGGTGAAGGGTTTGGAGAAGGGAGGAGAAGTGAACAATTTAGGACAACATAGCTGATTTGGAAAAAGTCTCCAATTCAGTAGACATGTGCGATTCGTTTTGGAAATTTGGAGATTCGGACGTATCCGAATTACAGCTAAAGCGAATGCAAACGAATCCGAATTCCCGATATGCCGAAATTTAGTTTTTAGACAAAATTTCATTGCAGCAAAATGACATTTTTTTTTTAGTTTGCAGAAGATGAAAAAAAAAAAGCGTTGTCGTGCGGCGGGACTTTTTTTTATTGCGGCGGGTCGGCGGGGTTCGTGCATCGTGATTGACACTGGATTACATCGATGGACCCATCTGGGTGCCCCCTTATTTAAAGGGGTACCCTGATGCAAATAAGCCCCCTTGCCCGCAGACCCCCACAACCACCGGGTCACGGTTGTGGGGAAGAGGCCCTTGCCGAGGGCACGTGGCCTGGTAAGGCCCAGGGAGCGGGGGGGGGCGCTTGATCGTCAAGTGCTCGGGTCAAGGGTCTGGTAGGACTGTTAGGGGGATGCCACGTTTTTTCCCCCCATTTTGGGGGGCTAGGGTTCCCTCTTAAAATTTCTACCAGACCTAAAGGGTCTGGTAGGATTTTGGGGGGAACCCCACGCACTTTTTTTGTGTTTTAACTTGGGGTGGGGCCCATCCTAACATTCCTAGCAGACCTAAAGGGTCTGGTATGAATTTGGGGGAACCCCTAATGTCATTTTGCTGCAAAGAAATTGCGTCCAAAAACAAAATTTCTACCGGACTACCGCTAACGAATTTCGTCCGAATTCCGAAACAACTTTAATTTCGGACCCGAATCCGAAAAACGAAATAATGCAAAATCCGTATCGAAACAAACACATTTTTCCTGGTGCACATGTCTACAATTCAGCTCCCTTTCCAGCTCAGCTATGTTGTCCTAGATTGCTCACTTCTCCTGCCTTCTCCAAACTTCTCCAAACTCTTCACCCTTTTGTGAATAACCCTGTAAATGTGAATAATATGGGATCTGTCTTTGCTGTATCAATTTGTTTGAATTCCCATCTTTCATACTGTTTTCCAGGTCAGTGAACTCAGGATCAGGAGCACAGCCTTGACCAGGTGGCTTTTAAAACAGTTAGGGAATGGCAGCCCCTGTACAGGTTTAGATTAAAGTAGAATATGAAGATTTGATTTCTCTGACCAGGGCCGTCTTTAAGGCGGGGCAAAAGGGGCACTTGCTGTGGGACATTGTTGTGGGGCCCGGTACCCAATAAACTAGCGCTAGTGAAATATTTCTGGGCCAGCCGTCTAGTCTGCACTACCGCTTTCTGATGCTGGAGGGCAGCAGCCTCCTGTCCGTCCCTATGTGCAGCAAAGATCTCTGCAGCCCGGGATGTCACCTCCCACTGAGCAGAGGAGGAAGATCGATTTTGCACACACTGCTTCATGGTCCTGCCCTCCCCCCTCCATGACTGCAGTCTCATCCTCCCCCTGTCCACGGTGAGTGCACATGGCTGCTGGGATGGGCTTCAATCTGGGTGGGGGGAGAAGGGGGATGGGGGGTGGTCAGGTTAGGTGTGTCACTGCTGGGCTATGATGTAATGCTGTATAAAAATAATAATGACACCTGAGCATGTTCCCCTGGTGTCATTATTATTATTAT